CGGGGAGGCCACGAGTTGAAGGAGCATAACGATACCAGAACATGAACTCTGACTGGTGGATTTTGATTCTCCGTTGTCCTTCCTTTGACGGGTCCATGAACTGAGGCTCAAGACCGGCGCCGAGCTTGGCATTTGGCGTTTGCGCCCTGCCAGGTTTGTTGAATCCACTGACCCGGGTCCGCGATCGCACGGATGCCAATTGAAGCTATTTTCGCCTAGGGAGCGAAGTGCCGATGCCGCATGCCAGGCCCCGTGAGCATGGTTCGGGCTCAGCTTCGGCTACCGGGCGCTATTGAGTGTGTTCGTCATGCTGTGAACCCATAATCAAGTAGAAAGCCAAGTTGGTGGTAGAGAACAGGAGCTAAACTCCCACACGCTGTGCCATTGCAATGTGTGCGTGCATATTTTGTATCTCATAGCTTCGCCACGTCCTTCCGTAAAGTCTCTCCGATGGGGTCAGATGACGGCAAACAGTCGATTTCGGCCTTCTTCTATGTTCATCCCTCGTGCTGGGGCTCGTACATGACCAGGATGTAGAAAGCTCCCTCATTTTGGACGAGTGTCTGTGCAATGCGCTGGAGCTTCCTCGGCTCCGCAGGCCAAATCCCGTTTTTCAAGTTTTGTACCCGTTGTCGATACTGGCCACCGTCGACTTCAACAGCACAATCACGAAGTTTTCTCGGTCATGTGCACCGCTTCCATCAGCCGGTTCCGGCAGTAGGGTCCTTTGGCATCCACCCTGAATGCCTTGACTCTCTATATTTGTCCTTTGTGTTGAGAATACGTTCCCAGGCACGCGAAAAAGGGGCCCAATTTGTCTAACGACTGTGTCAAATGGTGTAGGAATATGGACGAACGACTGAGAGTTTCCGTTCTAGGAGATCAGGATTGGTGTTGAACAACGAGACTGTCGCAATATGGAGTTTACACAACACAAAACGGTATACAAACTGTGTATTTATTCCCAGAACTCAAAAGTGTCTTATGCGATTTCGAAATCTTTGGCAACCTATATGACCTAAACTCGCTGGCAATTGACGTCCTAAAGTACAAATAGCCATCCCGTACCATACCGTGAGCTCTAGACGATAAGAAGGTAATTAATTGCTATATACCCTGCTCGACCGATTTATGGGCACGTGAACGTCTGAGTACAACTGTCGTTATTCTTCTTTCCCTTGCAAGCCGCTTCGTTCGCAGTGTTTGCTGCCGCATTGAAAGTCGCCGCTTTGGCATCACGGCACCTGGGAGCAGGGCTGCTCGTGCAGAAAGGCTTGTTGCCAATGTTGCAGAACCCAGGTGCTTGTTCGTTAGCAGCCGATGCTGCCGTGATGAAACCGGTAAGGACAGCAAAAGTGAAGAAGCGCATGTTGATTCGGTAGCTGTCGAACCGGGGAGGTCAAGTGTGAAATAAGCGATTGGTTGTTGATATTGCAGTATTCAATTGTTATTGTTGATTGAGAATTTGATGGTAGTTCGTGTCATGACGAAATCAATCGAAGAGACAGCGAGTTCAGGTTGTTTATATACCTTTTGGTATTGTAGTGTCTCTTATGGACCTTTTGTTAAATCTTCCGTCCTGACTCGATTGTTGATCCTGGCGTTCTCGGACACCGGAAGAGGCCGGTGAGGCGAAACTGTAGCCCCAAGGAGAATATACGCGATTCACCTATTGCTTATGCGTACAAGATAAATTACTAGCTTAATTTCCCTATGAAGCTCCATTCAGATCTTTCACCTTGGGTGAAAACGGTTCGTCTATTTTTATTCAAAAGCGCTCCATCATCTGCTGCACTACGCGCGCCGATATCCGCTGGAACTATGGGGACTCTTCGCACCCCGGCAGCTGTCATGCAGTGCAGTTCGCAACTCAGGGGAATCCTAAAGTATGGAGTGATGCTTGTTTTCACCCAATAAGTGGAGGCAACCAGACAGTTGCAGATAAACACTTCTGTAGCCCAGATCATTGTGAATCCAAATGTTCTAGGTTCCACAAGATGTCTACAAGGAGGCAAGACAAATAAAAACAAAGTTGACGACGCTGCGGGTGGACAGAATTATTCTGATGTCTCATCTCTTGAAGCGACAAGCACAGACATCACACAACAAGTTGACACAGCAATGGACAAAAATTGAAAGAACGTATAAAGGCTAAAAAGGGTATGAAGCGACGTAGAGCTTCGATCATATTACGGACCAGACTGACCATGAATCTTTCTTCCCTTCTAACTTTTCTTCTTCGCAGTTTGCCGCCAGCATCTTCGGTTTCCCAGCCTCGCAGGATGATTCTTGCAGCATCACAGCTGCTGCAAGAAGAGTTGTGTCGACATGTACATTACCAGAGTCGTAGAGAGTGTATTATTGGGCCTTCCAAAGATCCTTTCCCGTCTTAATTTTGCACTTGGTATCTCTTCAATTCTGTCACCCAAATCACTTGTCCCATTTAGATCTTGGGGTGTGGCAACTGCAGCCAGTACTGCACCAGATGAAAGATTCAGGTAACGTGTGGATACGAAGCCCTTTGCTTCATGCTCCTTTTCAAGTTCGTTTCAAATTGCAGCGCCATATTGGAGTCCCTGAAGGGTGCGCCGACAACAACTCCTTTTGTGCTGGGTCTTTGAGCTCGTTCTTCGCCTGCTGAACGCGGCCACCAATGTCCAGCCTGCATCCGAATCTCAGGTTCGGATACAGTGGCGCTGTAGCCAAGAAGTAAGGATCTATATTCTCTGGTGGGATACGGCTTCATACTAGCCGGTGGGATGTCAGCAAGTTGCATATCAGCGGGTGGCATTAAGACTAATTCCGGAATACGTCAAGTGCCAAGATTTGACCGTTATCTTGTTGTCCTGTATAGGTGCGAAGCGGAGAAATAATTCCTCTCAATGACTCATTTCCTTGCAGAGGCACCGCTTTCATACTACCAAAATACTATCTGTCTGGACAGCTGTAGCAAATCTGCCGAGGCTCAGCCGCTGCTGAAGTCTTGTCCCGGACGCCATGGGCCGGCGAACTCCCATCTGCGTGTCCCCCGTGGGAAGTTTAGGTGGTAGAACCATTCATCTTATGGGGCAGCCGACGGGATATCAATCTCGTGTAATCCACCGACACAGGTCATCGCCTTCTCCGGGCTGTCACCCGGAACTTGACAATCGCGGAATGTCTTCATCCTATCTTCTATCACTTATCAAGGTCTCCAAGGGTGACAGTCTACAGAGCTATATAAAAGGAAAGAAAGACTCATCTAGGGGCTACTCCCTTCCGTCCTCATCCCATTACGTTCATTCAGCGACGATACACCAGTCTCTCATTTCAACCATTCGTTTACCGAATTCAAAGATGAAGCTTCAATCACAAATTCTACATGCAGCAATGACCTTTTCGGTCGCTCTCTGCCACCCATTCTCAACACCGTCTCCTTCGACTGCGATGTCTACATCCGTCGTCTTCCAACTCAACCAGACTGGCACCTGGTTTGAAAACCTTGCCGTTCGACCCAACGGCCAGATTGTGGCGACTCGAATGGATCTGGGCCAGCTTTGGCTTATCGACCCCTTTGCTAAGACAGGCAAGAAGTTGGTCGACGTTCCCGGAGTCATCAGCACCATCGGAATTGCTGAGTACAAGCCCGATGTCTTCGCTTTTGGCGGTGGGAACTTCAGTCTCAACCCCGTCAGCCTTGCTGCAGGCTCGATGAAGGTGTTCTCTCTCGACCTTACTAAGGAGCTTCCTGTTGTAACCCTCATCACTCCTCTGCCGGATGCAGGTTTTGCTAATGGGCTGACGGCTTGGAGTGAGACGGAGGTTCTGGTTGCCGACACCAACGGAGGAACTGTGTATAAGGTTGACATCACCACTGGGAACGCAGCTATTATTTTCTCTGGTGAGGACTTCGTCGGAGTCAATGGACTTCGCGTCCAGAACGGGTACTTGTACTATTCCAGCATGGACACGCAGCGATTTTTCCGCGTGCCAGTTGGAGCGGACGCAATGGCTGCGGGCCCAGTCGAGGTTTTGACATCTGGCTTCCCACAGGATGATTTCGCGCTTGCTGCGGATGACACCGCGTACATCGCTGGCATGGAGCAGAACCAGGTAATCCGGGTGTTGGCTGACGGGCAGACGACCACCATTGCCGGTGAGCCGGACAGTCTAGAGGTCGCTGCCTCTACGTCTGTCCGGTTTGGTCGGACTCCTGTGGACTCGAACGTTTTGTATGTTACTACCTCTGGTGGTGCCCTTCAGAGAATCTTTGGAAACTACACGGAGCCGGCGAAGATTGTGGCTGTCAAGTTGAACAATGTCTAGAAGGCTGCAGTCTCGCTAGCATAGGCATATCGTGAACAAAGTCTTCAAGCTATCTAGTGCGACTTCCAGTACAATAATTATGCAGACTTTCATTTGTTCACTTCATATTACACACAAAGTCCCGAGAATGAAAGAAATTGTTTCGTTCCGGATCGCACGAAACGATCAACGCGCACAATAAGTTATACAGCATTTGTCTTGCTCTGAAACATATTTTACCTATGCCGTTCGACAGACGACTTTACGAGTATTTCAAGCTGGATGGTCAGCCGTGCATAATTCTGGTCTACTGACCAAATTACCCCGCACAGATACTGACTAACTTAAGACCTCCATTAAGAATCTTGGTGTTTCTCATACTGAGAACGTGTGTCTAGTTCTCGTACAACCTGCCTCACGCGATGCTTATAACAGGGGGTTCAACCTACTTCCATGGAAATCATGGTTGCGTGAGTTTTGGTGTGTCATCGTATAGCATGGGAAGACCGCAAGGGCATTGAACCGCTGTAGTTGAGTGGTTGAAGCTTCTGTCAGCAAGTTGCAAGTGATATGGATGATGGCGAAGCTCGAGTCAAGTGATAGGTCTCCGGGACTAGAGGAGGCGGTGCATGAACATGAGAATTTTACCGCGTCTGAATAGATACATATAAACTCTGGAATCTGCCCAAACAAATGCCGCCGAAATCCAATCAAGATCAATTATCCTCTCCTTCAGAGCTGCCGTCATGGTCCATATCATCATCGCTCCAGTCGAGACTAACTTTGTAGGACCTAAGGATTTCGCGGGTCTTTCTCTGTAAGTCCGACCTTTCCAGCAGCAACTCATCTCTAATGCGTCTAGCTTCCTGTTTTGGAATCGGAAAGTCTGAAACTTTTTCGACCACCATGTCGACTACCTCCTTCGGAAGCCCCTTCAGCTGTCCTTCGCTCGTTGAGAACTCTGCCGCCCACCAATCAGCCTGTTGCGGAGGCACATTGGCTGTTGACAGGATTTGGACTTGTGGGTCGACCAAATACAGAGTCAAAACCTTTCTATGCCCAGGCCGAGTCGAATCCTTCAACTGAAAGGCGGACTCCTTCTGCTGTACAACGTTGGGGTATACCAGCATCAAACCCTCTCGCATGGTCGCGAATCCGACTTTTTGCAGAGACGGAGTCTTGTTCCTGAGGCCGAAGATTTCGTCAAGGGGTCTCAGATCCCCCGTTTCAAAGCTGCAATCTTCCTCGAAGTTCAAACCTTGAAATCGTGTCTGGAAGGATACTCTCGAGTCTGTAACATTTTCATCATCGAAAAAGTAGACTGCAGTGGCCACGATGCGTTCGTTCAGCGCACCATCCAGACAGAACTCATTCCGCAGATCACAGATTGGGCTTTCTGGGGTCAGGTGCATTGCTGCCATCTTGACAATGACCTGAATGCCGTCCGCCTTGCCTAGCATGCTTGTATAGTTCGCTAACGCTTCAGGTGTAACAGAACTATCATGTGTATGGTACGCTCGTTCTTCCTCGGACCGTGGTTCAGGTTTGTCAATAACCCTGAAGTTACGCAGCCATGCGTTGGTCCTTCGTTGCCACTCATCATCATCGATGAGTCCGCTCATTAGGTCATCTTTGATGTTGAGTGGGTCGTAGGGAGGTGTAATAGGATATTTCCAACCTGCCTGATCACAGTCGATGCGCTTCTCGCAATGCATGGCTTCCTTGTAGACAGTAGAGTACACCAGATTCCACATAGGCATTACTTTCGTGATGATGTTTTCCAAGACAGGATAGAAGTTCCGGTGGTCCTTGGGATGCAGGTTGTTGACGTAGCTCGTGATCTTCGCATTGATGCCGTCTGGGAATGCAACGTTGCAGGGAAGCCACTGGGATTTACCGGAGAACAATGTATAATAGGTGCCGTCAACATATTTCTGCCTTTCGTCATTGTCCGGTATTTGAACCGTGATTCCTTGGGTGATGTAGTCAAGGCAGGCTTGAAGATCGATCTCCTTGCCGGGAAGAACTCGAGAGCGACCATAAACGAGCGGGTACATCGCTGGGTCAATTAGGTTGACCACCACATTCTTTTCGCTCGATGTCGACTCCGTGTCCTGGGTGAGCGTGGCTTCCTTGCCTGAGCTCCAATCGATTTTGCGAAGTGAGGTTCGTTCTATGTCGCGAGCAGCCATCTGGAGAGAGCTCCGCATGTCTGACGATATGATTCTGTCTGATCGAGTGAGGCGCACTTCAATGTCAAGAATAGAAACAATTCCCGTCTCTTGATATAGCCTCGCTTTTGCCTGAAGTTCTTCTATGCACTGCGGAAAAAGTTAATTATCATGTCTATCATGACCGTGGCTACTCTTACGCATTCAAACATTGCATCGGTGAAGTCGCCATGTCGAATTCCGCCAGCTCTGCGCCAGTCCTTTTTGACTACATCATGCTTCCAAGTTGCAATGGCCGCCTCTTGGAACACCCTCTGATCCCAATTCTCCTCGAGTGTGACGTCCTGCATGAACGCTACCATGCATCGCTCACGATTTGTGTGCGGCCAGTGTTGTTGCCAATCATTCACAGCATCCGGAAAATGGTCTTCAGGTGTATGATTTAAGGAAAGACCGAAGCCGGGCAGCTACAATTGAGATGGTGAGCTCTGCTCCCGATTTTCCTACATGGTTCACCAAGGGAATTTATGACACTAACCATGATCCGACCCGCTTCGATGACTGCTTCCGGTTCCATGTTGATGTTTCGGCTTCGAGGACGAGACTAAGCTTGGCAGCAATCGAGGCGACTTTTGGGATAATTCTGAGTGACTCGCAACTTACGCGGCTCGGTCAACTTGGAGTGGCTGCCTTGGGAGATGGAGGTGGAAAGAGGGGACATTTGCCCAGGCAACAGATGCAAAGACATGCGACGGGGTGCGGGGGTTGCAGATTTAGCGTGATCCTTCAGCAAGGAGCGAAATCCGTCAACAGCCACATTGTGAAAACCACAGCATGGGAGGAACTTTTCAATGACAGAACCCGGCATTGTATCAAAAACCAGCCATCTACGTCATAGGAATAGTGCTCATCTCTTACGGAGTGTCGGTCACTGGTTCAGCAGTCGAAAGAATAAGCGAAGGCTGAAATTTTATGACAATACTTATATATCTGGACGTTTTCGAGAAAACAAATCTTCAATGTGGGTGGAACATGTGGTATCATAACTACTCCTCTAACGACTATACGATGCTACTCTCCTTCCAAATGAGTTCAATCCCTCTGCCTCCTTAGCATTTCGCAACAACATCCTGGCCAGCCTTGACTGATTTGTCGAGCCCTGCTTGCGCATCAACGACAGCTTGGTCGCTCCTGCATAGAATATCAGCCATCGTCATCTCGAGCTTCGAGGATTCTGACGCTTACTTATCGGCACTGGCGAGGGCGTCGCCTGCTGCAGCGAGTCCAGCTGCTACTTCGTCACGGCTAGCTGCGGGAGGTGCACTACCGCTCAGAAGGGATTGCGCAATTTGCGAAATACCTCCTCGCGCCTGTTGAAGGCCTGTGTTGGCAGCATCCTTGACTGTTGCATCGGTGATTTTAGAAACGGCGTCGTCGGTGTTACCAAGGGCGCCGAGGATCTGGAGTCGTGCCACATTGCATGAGAGACTGCCCAGGTTGCCAAGCAATTGGCGTCTGTCGATGCTTCCTAGAACAGCCAGCCAGTTAGAGAAATGGAATGGGGTCTGGTTGACATTTTGTGAATTACTGACTCGCGGTAGCAAGAGTGGCGCTGGTAGCCATCAAAAAAGTGACGATAAGTTGCTGAGGGTACATCTTGGATTGATTTTAGTGGGTATCGAAAGACAGTGTTAGAATAGAAGAGGACGCCAGGTCGTTATTCAAAATTAAGCTTAAAAAGATATTTGAAGATGACGCCAGGTCAGAAAAGGAAGAGATTGATCAAAAGATGATTGAGAAGACAATCTATCGGATGGCAGTTTCACTGGTGATGAGTTGAAACAATGTTCAAATGTTGACAGCGGCGTGACAGGTGCCATTTTATATATGGGATGGATTGACAGAAGCACTGCGCTAAGATGATGTGAAAATTGGTGCGCGGAGCCCGAAAGAAGGCTCAGCGCCTGGCATGGCGTTTCGAAGATCGAATGGAGTTTCAAAACATGGGAATGGGGTGACGCTGAGGTTCTCGGATGAACCCCCTGTTCCCTATGACCAGCGTCTTTACTGGGGGGCCATGCATGGGTAACGCCAAATCCCACCTTCAGCAACCTCGCTTATTCCAATTCGCTGCGCATCTTTCGAACCTCCTTGAAGATCAAACTGCCCGGCGGGGAACATTTGAATCCGCAGCGAGATTTGTTTTTGCGATTGGCTGCTCATCTTCTTAATCAGGGGTTTTGATCTACGGATCCGACACTTTTCCATGAATGGCGAAACTGAATCGAATATCATAAATACATATGTTAAGGCCTCTGAAGCAGGTTCAATATTTCATGTCCATTAATAGCCTCATCTCCTGGTCACCTTTTGGCCAGATGTGCTGCCACCCGCGTGAGGACTATCGCGTGACAACACCCTTATGCAGAGTGATCCCCTTAGGATCGGCCGAATTATCACCCCAGACGCCTAGGTTGCTGTGCACGAAATATCGCCGCAAGACGAAAAAGAGATCTCACCAGTGAAAACGGAGAACGTAAAGTGCTGCATTATTCCCCATAACCAAAATTTTATCGGCACTCACAAGGCACCATCAAATGCATGAGCTATTGTCGCTGAACATCTGTCTGAAATGGCGTGTCCATAGCCGCAGCCTTTTGGTCTGACGTCTGGCTCCGTCCAACCCAGTAGCCTTCATCAGGCTTCAACCGTGAACTTTTGAACATCTGATGTCCGAGCAGGCTGGACGGTAAGGCTTCGATTCCTCCGAGGAAATGTACCGGATTTTCATCTGGGACTCCATCCTGGACATCGACATGGAGGCAGATTTGCCCACTTTCTCGCCGGCCACATTGCCAATGTTCTTCATTTGCCCATGCGCATAGTACAACTTGCCAGATATCTAGATGGCTACCCGCTACCGTGATCAAAGAAGGGTCTAGAGCATCGGTCAAGTCAAGTCTAAGGCAGCTCTAATGGCGGGAGACCCCATGACAAGCGTGGCTTAGCTGAGGCCATAGCCGAACTCCTGGAAGAAAACGACGTGAAAAAGCAAATCATAAATCCAGATGAAGAAGAAAACACACAATCAAGTCTGCTAAAAGTGCGGTTCTATTCGACTAATTTTCGTGGCATTGATGCAGACTCTTTCTCCTGTCACAGCAGGCTGCACGACGCAGCATAGTCTGTCTAATGAATGATTCTCAGGCCGATGGATCGCGACGGGTCTTTTTGCGGCCGCATAGTTGCAAGGTATGGTTCTGGCTTGTTCGTGTCTCATCGCCTCTTGTTACTCATTCTAGATGCGCAAAACGCGCAGTATTTTGTATTAGAATAACGTTGATTCCGCAATTTCGACCCGAGGTGCCACTCTCGGTGCTCAATTCGGTTTCCGATGCTCGAGATGCATGTTGTGGGTCGCTCTTGAGGGTATTCGAACCGCTTGTCGGATTCTGAGATCATAACATGAAGATTCCATTAGACTAAGACTTCAGAAGATGGACTGGCTCCGTCAGCTCTTTTCTTCTAGTTGAACATAGTTCCAGGTCAAGTAAAATGCTCACGCGCTCGACCTCTCTAAGCTACTCCCCGCAAACCGGGTTTTAATTGGGGGGGGGCACCGTGCTTCTAGATACGGGGCATTGATTGTTAAGGTTTCGGATACGCCGCAAATGTGAAATGGACTAGATGAGCCTGAGGCCGGTTCACGCTAGACTGACTCAGAGATGGAATCTGCAAGTACACTGTAACTCGATGTTAGCAAAGCAACGGAAAAGCGGACTTTGAAAGGATGCATGGGAACGTGGAAAGGAATAGAGAGTCTGCCACTGGATACTAACGAATGTCCGGCCTGAATTGATCTCGCCAAGGGAGCATCAGCAGTTGAATCGTTACAGTTCGTGCCCAAAAGTCTGAGCCCACTAGCCGTTTTACACCAAAACTCACTTACTTTAGTACTTAGTATATAGAAAACTTAGGTAATAAAAATATATAAAATTTTAGTATTATATAGAACTTTATAAGATTTATATAATATATTTTTCCTAGATTTATAGGATTTTTCTATAGAGAGTTATAAATTTTCAAAGAATTATAAAGTAAGAAATTCTAAGATTAGTATGTAAAATTGCTTAATTTTAGTTAAAATTTTACTTCTTTAACTTTAAAAACGTCCTATACTTAATATTTAAATAATACTATAATAAAGTAACTTTTAAAAAATTCTTTAAGTATTAAAGTATTTAAATAGATTTTTTTATATATACTTTTATACCTAATTTATTAATATATTTAAGTATAGAAATATAGTATCTTTTTTACTATATTTTTAATAATTTAATAATATTTTATTATATATTATATATAATAATATAAAAAAAGTTAATATAGCTTTTTTAAGTATTTATCTATATATTAGAGTACTTTTTATATAGTTATATAGTATAATTATAGAGATATACGCGTTTAAAAACAGGGTATTAAGTGCGAAAAATCAGGTGGGCTCAGACTTTTGGGTACACACTGTAGACACAAGGTATTCTGCATGCAATAGAGACTCTCGTGACGAAACAAGCTCAATTTAATTACGGCCGCCTAGACCAGCAGCAAGCGAGTCAAGAATCTCCGTCCGAGCATCTGTGGCTTAGCAGATCGCACCTTTCGATAGCGAAGAAAGGGGGTAGATCATAAAAATAAAAGCATGGTGTCTTCCCCTGCAAGAGTTGTCGGTTCATACTAAATGACTATCCCCGACTTACGTTCTTTACCCTCGAGTTTCAATTCTCCCGGCGTTTTCACGAAGCCCTCCTTTTCAACTTTCTGCAGCTTTCGCTATAGAAAACTCATCCTCAATCACCTAGCGCAGATACCGACTACACAATGAAGTTCACCAGGGCGATCCTTTTCCTCTTCGCTGCGGCGGCGTCTGCCCAGTCTTGTACTGGCAACGAGATTCAAGTCTGCCAGGGCAACAGCATCAAGTTCTGCAACCTTGCCAAGAACAACGTCTTCGATGTAAGCGGCGAACGGTTCTAGCCACGTCACGCGACGATAGCGACGGAATTGCTGACTCGTGCTACAGTTCATAGACTGCGGTCGCCAAAAGTGCGTAAATGTTGCTGGCGGCGCTAACTGTCAGTAAATTCAAGTGGGGGGATTTAGGGTGTGATCTTCTCCCTAGTACTAGCACTAGTACTAGAGATTTAATAGCAAAAGTAACCTCTAACGATACCCTATATCCCTTATATAATTTCAGATTTATAATAGAAGTACTTATTTTATTACTAAGTTAGTATTTTAACTAAATTTAGTAAGGGATATACTTACTACTTTTATAGTTAGGGTTTTTAAC